TTAAACTAAGAGTCTAATGGGATTTGTGTATGACTTGGTCCCTGCAAACAAAAGGAATTAGTTCTTTGGTACCTATTTTTTGCAAGAACCCATTTTTTGATGGGTCCTTTTGGATTAATAACAACTTTAGGAACCTTTTATGTTTTGTTATAAGAACGGTCTTTTGCAAAATGAAAAGATTTTCCATGGTTATAGCACTTTCAAGAAGAAGAAGATCTAGGAAACTCGTGGATTCTCTTTTGAAATTTCTGGAACTGAGGATTCCTTTTTGAAAGAAAAGAGTTGATAGATGTAGATGGTTTAGAACCTAGAATCCCTTTTTCATTTGTCCTTCTCGGAGTAAAATACTTTTCAATGTTCTTGTCCTTTTGAAAAAATATCTTTTAGGATGATTTGTGGATCCAACAGATTCACACTCACTTTCCTCTTACACACAGTCAGCCCGTTTCTGATAAGAGGCATGAACAAGACCATCCAAAAAAAATTATTTTCAATTTCTTTTAAGAGTCATTTGAATGATGTTTTGAAAAAACCTAATCTTCCTGAGTAGGTGAAATCATTAGACAGTTTGTCTAAGAAAAACCCAAGTCTATGACCACAATTGGGAATTTGATAGTTTAAATCTTTTCTATGATCTATAGAAGCTTGATTCCAACTTCTTATGGTTGACTTTTCCTTTGCAAGTTCTTTTAACTAAATACATTTTTCATTGTTAAGGTATTTTGAAATGATTTTATGAGAATCCGATTCATTTTGAGTTTTGTCAAAATTCTTGATTTGTTGAAAGCATTTAGACAACTTGGCAGTTGATTTATCCACTTTGTTTTATGTTTTTTTTAGATTTAAGAGCATTGCATATTTTCACATACATGCAATCATAAACGGAAGGAGAAGGATATACCTAATTGTTCAAGGGATTATGTGCTTCATATGATTTAGATGAAGATTCAACTATATTAAACTTGTCAGGATCTTTTAGCTGAGCGAGATGATCCATAAAGCACAAGTTTACTTTTTCATCTTGTTCATTGTTGGATGAGGAGGACGATTCTACCCAATCATGTTCTTCATCCATCATTATTCTTTCTTTGAGAGTTCTTGGATCTATATTTTTCTCTTTGTTTTTCACTTCGTGCTCCTTTATAGGAAGATTGTGAAATTTGAGATTTCCTTAAAGAGAAAGACGAATTTTCCCTTTTGGATCTGCAATCGACGGTAAAGTGTCCTTTCTTTCCACATTTAAAGCACTCATCTTTAGATTTCCCATGAGGAGACAGTTTGATTGATGAAGGATGGTCTTTTTGAGAATCTTCCTTTTAACCTTCTTTGGAAGTTGCTTTTTTAGCAACCTTATTGAAATTTGATGCAACTAAGAAAAGAGAGTCAATAATGTCTTGCATTAATAATCTATCGGTCCCATTGTTAGAATCTGTGTTGGCATCAAAGGTGGATTTATGCTTATTTTTTCCGGTTTTGAAACAACTTGGGTGAAATAGGGTAGTTCACAGAAGGTTGAGAAGTCGTAACCGGCTTTCCGCCTCCATTTGGTCGGGGAGAAGTTGAGCAGGTTTCTTAGATGGAAGGTTCTTAGTCTCCAAAATTCGATGTATTTCGTGCAAGACACATCTCATGTTTGGTGAGAAGCCATAGCAATATTATATGCATTTCGGGCCTAATAAGTTGTGAAGAGTTTAACCATAAATAATCTCTTAACCATCCCAGAGGAGAGGATGGGAGGAGAGAACATTTCATCAGAGTTTTCAGAATATGTGTCATATGTTTCATGTGATATAGATCCTACTCTTTTAGAATCAGAAGAAACAAAAGCAATATTTGTACTTTTAGTTTCTTAAAATACATTTTTCCTCAATACTTTAGTTTGCTCATAGTTATATAAAATCCCATATAGAGCATTTAGAGGCATATGCTGAAGATCCAAGGACATTTATAAACACACAATTATGTTCTCCCATGAGTCAATTAAACAGTACATAAATTTGCATAATACATCACCATTATTAAAAACTTTATCATGCACTTTAAAATCATTTAGAAGAAAATTTAATTTGTTGTAAACCTTGGTGAGAGTTTCTTTCTTGTCATACAAACAGTTCGTACTGTTTGATGAGACTAATCTTTTTGCTTTGATTGACTTCAGGCATCCCTTCATATAAAACAATAAGAGTGTTCCACATATCTCTTGTGGTAAGATTCATGATAGAGTGATAGACATCATCTGATAGGGACATTACAGTGATGGTCGTGGTTTTGGTATCAACTACAACTTGCTTCTTATAATCTTTTTGTCCATAGATCTGGAGCCTTGATGATTCTCCTTCCTAGTCCGAAGATCCAAAATGACTTCCACAACCAATGACAACGACTCTCTATCCAAACCACGTCGTTCTCAAAAAAGATATTTTTGTCTTTGGAAAAATCAGATGACACTCTTTCTTGAAGGAGTTAGAAAACAAATCCTAAATGTTCTAAAAAATTGTCCATATGTTCCTACCACCCTTATGCCTGGTGATATGTAGGAACATATGGGCCATTTATGAGAACATTTAAGATTTGGTTGTTAACTCATTCAAGAAAGAGTGTTATCCGATTTTCCAAACACAAAATTGATCTTTTTGAAAACAAGGTGGTTTGGATAGAGAGCCCTTGTTATTGGCTATGAAAGTCATTTTGGATCTTGTTTATGAGATTAAACAAACCGCTTTGATACCACTCATTGATCGTGGATTGTAATGATTTACACATGATGTGTTTGTAGAAGGGAGGGGGGTTAAAAACAAACACAACAAACTTTCACTTTTAATTCTATATTTTATATTGAAATAAAGAATTACATATTAGTTGCGGAAACTAGGAAGATAAAACTAGATCTCAAACAGTTTGACTGATGATAAATTTGTTAACAGCTGAAAAAGTAAGAGAAGAGGTACTCTTTTAGATCTGAAGTATTTATATAGTTCTTTAGATAGTGACGTCGATTTTGCTTAAGAAACTATCATTCATAAGTTTTTCAAAAAAAGTGAGTTGCAACATATGACAAAAGTGAGCTTTTTATAGCCAACATTGTATTAAATGTTATTTTCCATCTTTAATGCGTGTCTTTATTTGATTTACTAATCCATACATGTTTGTATTCTTCATTTCAGCTTTTGAAGTTGATGTAGACACCTGTTAATCCAACTCATCGTTCTATATGCAGAAGGAACAGTAAAAGAAGTGTGGTACTACTAAAATAGTATTTTCGAACTTAATTGGCTAACATGCTAAGCATGTTCCCATGTTAATTACGGTATGTCCAAATAGACATTTGTAAGAAGTTAACAATTAGATCATGTCCATGAGAGTTTTGGTTAAATTTTTTTCTCTATTTTTCAGAACTTTCTCAAAAATGAAATTAGTAGAGAAATGATAAAATTCTGCAAATTTAGAAAATTCCCTAAAAATGATTGCTTATGAAGGAAAATATTTTTTAATTAAATTGTCTAAAATTTTGATTCTCACCAATACGAATTGTTAAGATCAAGATAATATTTAATTTGAGTAATGTGAGGAATATTTTGATAATACAGTTAATGTAGTAATCTCTAAAATTAAAAAGTAGTTATAGTTGAATGTAATTTTTTCCAAATATTATAAATTTTGAAGATACCCTTACTAAAAATACTCGACTCCTAGTTTGTAGTCGTAACAAACACTATTCTTAGCAAACTCATGCACCAATTTTCAAACACTCATATTGCATTTGCAAAAGCAATCGTCGATTAGTGGTGTTCAATAACGTTTACTTAATGAGGTCATACTTGATGCAATTTAGCAGGCAAACACAATCCAAGAAAAAACTAGAGAAAAATAACATCAAAAGAATACCTTGAGGAAGCAAGACGTTCGGTTTGATAGAATGGTTTTGAGAGATTTGGATTTTGTGAAGGATTCGAAATCTTTGATATGTTTGTTTATAGGATTTGGAATGGAATTGAATTCAATTATTTATAAAAACAAATTATTAAACCTTTTCATTAATTGATTACTACAAAACAAATCTTTTAAATATATTTTAAAACATTATTATATACAAATCCCACAAAATATCAACCATTCCCATGGGATTTCAAAATCCTATATTTGTGGAATTTCATGAAATTCTTCAAACCAAACATGGTACTGAGTTGAAATTCAATTCCAATCCTACAAACCAAACGAGACCTAAATATTGCAAAATGAAACATAACTGCAAAAACCAACATCATACTTTGCATTTTTTGTCTGAAACCTTTGTTCTTGTGAAGTCTAGAGCTCTTTGGCACTTCTGCGAGCATGTTGGCAACAAAAATCAAAAACCAAATACAATGATTCAAAACACCAACACTGAACAAGTTACCGTCTCTTACGAATGATTAACACTTACGGCCAAATACACGCTTTTAGAGCATCTCTAACAAATTTTTCCAAAAATGGAGAATCAATAACTAAAAAATCTCCAAAAACATTGTATTCGACTCCAATAACTTCTCTATTTTTGAGATCACAACATTAATTATATTACTAAATAATAAATTATTATTTCTTTCCTAAATACTTAATTTCGAGGATCTCATCAGTAGGAATAATAATTTATGTCAAATAAGCAATTATTTTCCCTTCCTACTATTTCCATTACGGAAAAAGTTCCGAAGAATTTGTTGGAACAAAAAATTAGCCCAAAATCTCTACTTTATCCATTTTGGAGAATCAGTTAGAGATGCTCTCGCAGCATGAGATGATGGTCTTTACCAACAATCTCATTGTGCCAATTTTGCAAACCGAGAATCATCTTACCTATTAAGTGAGGGTGGTGACTCTTACCCAATTAAAGTTGGCAGACAACAAATTCTACAACAAGAATAAGCAAAACGGAGAGGAAGACAAACCTGGGAAGAATGAATTCAGACCAAAGCATTGCAATTTGCATCTCCAATGCTGCCAAAACTACATTTCAAGCTCATTGGTTTTATGGCTAAAAAACAGCATCCAGGTAAATAACAGTAAGGATATCATTACACAAGTTTAGCAGCAGTACAGAGACGTGCACGCGAGCTTTCCTCATCGACAATTTTCTACCATAAGTTGTAGTTATACTACAAGACTTCAAATGTCATTTTTTTTTGGCTAACCCAAAAACATAATCTTATGATTCATCTATACAGTACCTCCTTCAAAATTGTAAAACTACAGTTCATGGGATGTTTAGCTTCCAGATAATAATCCCATTTTACAACCGTTTTAAGAGTGATGCTATTAGTCACTTACATTGGGAGAACAATTTACATAAGGTGCTAGGAACCTTCAACAATCTTCTTGGTTTTCTGGGTCAAAACTTCGTTATATCCTCTCCTAGAAGACCAATTCTCCTACAAAATTTCTTTATAATACACATCTCTTCATTATGCAAATTTCACATACATCGTGACTTCAGTCACATGGATGCCAACTGAGCTTTGTATGAAAAATCCACATTCAACTCTTGGATCCCCAGTGCATCAAAAAATGTAATAGTGTCTGAATATAGCTAGTTTACGGCTTCATAGAAAAGAACCTGGGGTTGCAAATGCCCTTTCTCGCACATTTTAAGGACATCTTCCCAGCTTCCAATTACCTACGGAGTTAAATAATTGTGTCATTAAAGCAGAAAAAACTAGATACAGCAAATAATGATAATGGCGGAGTGAATACCTTCACCGTGTTGTCATCATACATCATCCACCGTTCATGATCATGGCTGTAGGCAAAGCAATGATAGTGCTGCCCATAATAGCATACCTAAAAAGCAAGTAAAAAGGAATTGTTTAACAAAGTTAGTATGGAAGAAGGCAAAATAACCTATTTGGGGTTTCTAAGATCTACCTTAATATAAAGATTCAGCTTTAATATTGTATATAATATTGTAACAATCATTCACTTGCATTGTAATATGAATCCTAAAATAATTTGTGATGTCACTATCCTCGACTAAAGAAAGAACAAAAGTTGGACAATATGTTGCATAATGATATTTCTCTTCCAAAACAGGCATCTTCTAGATGATTTATGGAGAATATAACAATGGAAAACAATCTTCGCATTCTTTCTTTTACTGTTTTAATTTATTATTAGGGAGAAGTCTTGGAGAACTGATAAAGTTGACTAAATTATGGCCAAAAAGTCATGGTCATGGCTAAGAGAAATGGAACCAAACATTGCCAAAATTCAAGAGAAAGACTGTATACTAAAGTTTCCTTCCTTACCCCCATGGAGAGGTAAGAATGTGGATGACAGCACTAATATAGGAGTAGGGAGTATGTCACAAGGTTATCATTTATGCCATAACCACCTGCGGGAACATCCTAGATACAAAAACCATTTAGATTCAAGATCGGCCTAGAAGCTTTGAGATTCATCTCACAGAAGACCCTCTCTATCAATATAAAATGTACTCTCGATGAGTAATCTAGCCTATGCTTAAAGATACAATGCTAGAACATTTTGGAGAAGACTACAAGTCCCTAGGGTTTTCCGGATCCATCACGTAGTCTTCCTTGATGGATGTTTTATTGGAGGTCCAACAGGCACCATGTGTCCCTATGCAGGGCGCTAATGCGGCTCAACATCATGAGAAACATGTGGTCCATGATTCTCATCACCAGGTTCACAACACCCTCATCATGACCATTTGTGAGATCACTTGCATTGATCACATACTTGCATCATGTTTTTTTTGCACGTCATTGTGCAACCCTTGCAAGCGGCACCATGATCTTACCATGATCTTAATCCCATCTTACGTGCATAAGGAATGAAAAAAGGGTGCCACCTTTGATTTATCCAACAAACCCATCCCAACTAGTTAATGGTCATCAAGTGGAACCACATATATGTTGATGGTCCCCTTCCACCGACAAATGAGATTCTCACTCTAGCAATGTCGAGAATGTTCCATACGTTGGAGTTCACAGTCCTGAGCAATCCTTCTATGCCGCACATTCCGAGCATGAGCTTTATTCAACTTTTACGATAAAGTTGTTGGATACCCCGGTGTCCACCAAAGCTTTTGTTTGTTGGCCATCGACTTGAGCTCTCATAAATATGAGCTCCAACATACCCCGTTTGTAATGCTTAACATTTTTAGGATTGGAGGTTTGAATGGCATCATACTTTCCTTCAACCTCATCCTTTTGTAGTGCTTTGCCATTGCTCCTCTTCTCAGAATTGAACAATCATGACATGCAAGTTCATTCACCTTAAACATATGTGGTTTGTAACACACGACGCAATTGCAGGGTACAGTATTTGACATGCTTCCTTCCTCTAATGTGACTTATTAGTATGCAAATGGGTTTTGTGTCCCTTGCCTTTCTCATAGTTGGCATGAGAATCCACGTATATCTCCTTGGATGGTTCTTTCTTTAGTACTTGGTCCATGAACAACTCTACTTGTTGTTTTAGATGCAAGAACTTGCACTCCATGATACTTAAGCTCAATGTTAGCTCGTGATTGGAGATCATTAATGAGATAGAACATGCATCCTTATCTAACGTGATGGACATCACACAAGTTGAATAATATACATTCCTTTGTTAACGTCTCAATGGCTTCATCATCATTGTAGAGCTCCCAAGTTCACAAGATAGAGGGTTGTCGTACAAATTTCGTTGGCCTCTTCCACAGTACCACTACTTGAAAGTAATGTTTCATGCTCCAAAGGATGCACTCGAGTTTCAACACATTTCTATTGCCCACAAAAGGCTTACTTCTGCAAATATCAATCCTATGAGGCTAGTACTCGTCATTGTTATTAGCCTTCCATCAAAGACTTCCTTGCACAAAGCTAATTTGGCCATTATGACCTTGAATTATTGCACAACCCACATGGCAAGCTTGTTGAAAAGAAGGAACTTCTTAAGAAAGGAATTTGTATCAATCATCTTCCTGTTGTTTAAGTAGGTATTTCTTATGTTTAGAAAGTAAATATTTGTGCAGCAAGTTAATTGCTCCTATTTCGATGGTTTCCTTGTTACCTTTGTATTATAAATCTTGCACATCCTTGTAAAGAAATATACATTTCAAAATATTTTCATTTCTCTCTGTCTCATGGTGTCAGAGTGGCTGAAGCTTCGGTCTGTGTTAATCATTTTTTTGTGTCTTGCTTGGTTGGTAATCATCTTGTTCGTTTTTTTGATATACCAACAATCTCAATAATGACAGGTTCTACTCAATCTTCTACCACTTATCAATCTCAAAACCAAACTCCATCCCTTTCCCATTAGCATAAATCAATTCCTCCTTCCAAATTACCCAACATAAGCTTAATGGATTGAACTTCCATGAATGGTTCCAGTTTGTTGTACTTATTATTAGAGGGAAAGGAAAGACTAGGTACCTTACTGTTGAAACTGAAGCTCCAGACAAAAAGGATGAGAGGCGGAAAACTCCATTGTTATGGCATGGCTTGTCAATTCAATGAACCCAAATATTGGCAAAACCTATTTGTGCTATAACAGCACCCATGAGATCTGGGAGGTTGTTCAAAAGATGTATTCTGATCTTGAAAACACCTCACAGTGTTTCAAGATTCGATTGTTTCTTCATAATACCAACCAAAGAGGAAGGTCCGTAACCGAGTACTACAATGTACTAACAGAATTATCGCAGGAGATGGACACCTTTTACAACATAAATTGGTCATGCTATCAAGATAGTACCCATTATGCCCAGATGCTCGTAAACACAAAATCTTTGATTTCCTTCACGGTCTCAACAAGGAACTAGACGAGGTTAAGGGTAGAATTCTTGGTACCAAACATCTACCCTCCCTTAGTGAAGTGTTTGGAGAAGTACGACGAGAAGAAAGTAATGTTGCAAACCCCAACAAATGCTAAAATCCAAGGATTTGTACTTGCTACATACAGATCTGAAGGACAAAGGAATGCAAAACCCAAGAATGTCAAGGCACTGCAAGAAACCATATCATATGAAGGACCAATGTTGGGACCTAACTGGAAAGCCTCCAAAACTGGACTCCTCGAAGACAATAATCAATAGCTACAGCTGCTCATGTTGCGGAGACCTCTACAGAAAATACCTCGTCTCCAAACCCATTCACAACCCGCCCAAATGAAGGAATTAAGAACCCTCTTGCACCCTACCAACTCTTCCTCAACTCCGGTAGGTAATTGGGTGTACCAATGTAAGTATACTCTATCATTCCTCTTAAAAGAAGAATTTTTTGAAGGATGGATCATAGATACCGGTGCTTCTGATCATATGACAAGAAACAAAAGTTCATTGAGAAACTTCAAACCAACCACCAATTGTATTACTGTCACAGTTGCTGATGGCAAGGCTTCTCGTGTTACCGATAATGGGAATATGATTTATGATGACTTAAAACTGAATTCAATTTTATATGTGCCAAACCTTCGGTTTAATTTACTATCGGTTACCAGACTCCTCAAGGATCAAGATTGTGTTGTAACTTGTTTTCCTACACATTGTATATTTCAGGAGCGGTCTTCGGGGAAGATGAATGGCATTGCTAAGAAATCCCATGGTCTCTACTACTTCCTTGGTTCTCCATATAAATCTCCTCAACAAAAACACCTTTCTCTTTCTAGTTTGTCCAAGTCTAATGTTTTGTTATTGCACCAACGATCATGTCATCCTAGTTTCGATTACTTGTATCATTTGTACCCAAATCTATTTATCAATAAGTCATTTGGGGTTTCAGTGTGAAGGTTGTGTTCTTGCAAAACAAACTCAGAAAAATTACCCAAACCATACCTAGAAAACCATCTCAACCATTCAGTATAGTCCATTGTGACCTATGAGGTACATCACTTACTCTAAACATCAATGGATCCTGTTGGTTTATCACATTTATATACGATCACACGTGGACTTACTGGGTATACCTACTCAAAAAACAAATCCGAGTATGGTGACATCTTTAAACAATTCCAAAAGCTCGTGGGAAACGTATTCCAGTCCCAAATACAAGTCCTTTGAACTGAGAATGTTAGGGAATATTTTGCCAATGATCTAAAAGATTGCCTAGTTGAACATGGCATCTTTCATCAATCTTCATGTATGCAAACTCCTCAGAAAAATGGAGTGGTTGAGAGAAAAAAATCGACACCTACTTGAAGTATCAAGAGCAATAATGATACACAATAACGTACCTCACTTTTTTGGGTGGAACCACTCTCACATCAGCCTATTTAATCAACTGGCTCCCCTCTGAAGTCTTGAATTTCTCAACCCCCATACAGCGTCTTCAAAAGTGTTCCCCTAATCTTAGAGTTCTAAACTCTCTTCCAACACGTGTCTTTCGCTGCGCAACCTATGTCTACAATACATATCCATCTCATGGTAAATTGGACCCCAGAGCTGTCAAGTGTATCTTTGTGGATCCTCACCTACTCAAAAGGGGTCCAAGTGTTATTGTCCGGCTTCAAAAGGGTGTCTGTTACCTCTGATGTCACTTTCTTCTAAGCACAAAGCTTTTTTCCCACTGCATCTCTTCAAGGAGAGGTTTTAAATGAAGATATCCAAAGGGATCCCCCAATCTCTCTTCATGTGTCATTCTTCGAGCCTAGTCCAAAACCTTCAGCACATGAGGATTTGGTCCAAGGAGGAGATTCACAACCCTCCCAGGTCCAAGTAGAGTCAATTCAAGGGGGAGATACACAACCACCCCCTTTCCAAGTGTATTCCAGAAGACCAAGACCTGGTGATTGCCAATCATCAGCACCCCGAACCCTGCGTTTGCCAAGTCTCAAGAATCTGAACCTATTGCACCTCAAGATTCTAATGAACTTGATGTTCCCATTGCTATCCGAAAAGGGGTCCCAACCTGCAAATACCCATTGTCGAGACATCTCTCATACAATAAGCTTTCATCAAAATACAAGGAACTTCTCTCACAAGTAGAGAAGGAAGCGATTCCCAAAAATATTCATGAAGCTCTATGTGATCCAAAGCGGAAGAATGCAGTTCTAGACGAAATGAGCCCTCAAAGAAAATAAGAGGTGGGAGGTTGTTAAAACTCCAACAGGAAGAAAGGTCATTGGGCGTAAATGAATCTTCTTGATTAAGGTCCGTGTTGATGGAGAAGTCGAAAGATAAAAAGCCAAGCTGGTTGCTTAGGGTTACACTCAAGACTTACGGAATCGACTATGAAAAGACATTCGCTCCAGTAGCAAACCCAAATACTATCCAAGTCCTACCCAAACTTACAGCAAACCTAGATTAGGCTCTGCACCAATTGGATGTAACAAAATGCTTTCCTGAACGGGATGTTAGAAGAGGATAAGCTACCTCCAATCTTTGAGAAAAATGAGGAGCCAGGTCAAGTGTGTAAATTGAAGAAGTCTTTGTATGGGTTGAAACAGTCACCACATGCATGGCTCAAAAGAATGTGCTCAACTAGGAAGCAATTCAGATATGTTGAGTCAAGTGGATCACAACTTGTTTGTGGAACACTCCGGTGATCAAAAGAAATCAATAATACTTGTATATGTCAGTGATATGATAATCACTGGGATGATACTCGCAACATTGAGAATTTGAAAAAAGACAATTGCATTCCATGTTTAAAGTTAAGGACCTTGGAAAGCTACAATATTTCCTTGGAATCGAGATTGCTCGAAGCAAACAAGAAATATTGATATCTCAACTGAAATATGTCCTAGATCTTCCAAGAAAAAAGGAAAGTTAGGGTGTAAACCAGCAAGTACTCCCTTGGAACGGAACTGGAAGTCAAAAACAGTAACAGATTCTCTGGTTGATCAAGAGCAGTACCAACAATTTGTAGGTAAGTTATTTTACATATCTCTCACGCATGCCGATATTACATATAGTGTGTATGTTGTGAGCCGGTATATGCACTCTCCACTAAGAGACACCTTGAAGTTGTTCAACAAATCCTCAAATACTTGAAAGGTACACCTGGAAAGGGATTACTATACAAGAAAACTAACAGGAGAGATGTTGAAGGGTTTGTTGATGCTGATTGGGGAGGCTCAAGAGATGCTAAGTCAACAATAGGTTACTGCATTAAAGTATTGGGGAACGTAGTTACCTGGAGGAGTAAGAAACAGACAGTAGTGGCTAGAAGCAGTGTTGGATCCGAGTACAGAGCCATAGTTCAGGGAATATGTGAACTGATCTGTATTAAGTGGCTACTAGAAGAGCTCAACAAGAATATAAGTGAAGCAGTCAAGCTAAATAGTGATAGTGAATCTGGAATTGCTAAACTTCGTAATCCTATTCAGCACGACAAAATGAAGCACTTTCGGATAGATAGATACTTCATCAAGACTGAGGTAGAAAACGGTACTATCAGTCTCAACTTCATGCCAACAAAACAGCAAGAAGCAGATATGTTCACTAAAGCCTTGATGAAATTAGACTTAGAATACAATGTGTCCCAAGTTAGGAATGTGGGATATACATTCGCCAACTTGAGGGGGAGTGTTGGAAAGAAGGAAATGCTTAAAAAAGGAATCAGTATCAATCATCTTCCTGTTGTTTAGGTAGAAATCTGTTATGTTTAGAAAGTAAATGTTTGTCCAGCATGTTAATTGCTCTAATTCAGGTGGTTTCCTTGTTACTTTTGTATTATAGATCTTGTACATCCCTGTGAAGAAATATACAGTTCGAAATATTTTCAATTCTCTGTGTCTCAGAGCTTGCATCCATTCAACTCCCTCATGAATTGACCAACCATTGCTTGGAGCTCATAAAAGTTGTCTACCTAAAAGTATAATGCTTATGAAGGCGTTCACTAAAGCGGTTCCTTCGCCTATAGTGCACCTAGACACTCTTCGAAGGTCTCCAAAGTTTGGCGAGCTTGGATATCCAAGGTAGACTCAAGAGACATCGTCCTTGTAGCAAGGCTTGGTAGCATGTCCTTGGAACAACCATGTCTTTCAGCTCAAACCACAATGTAGGGGAGGGGATCATTAATGGTTTGCAGCTAAAGCATCTAAGTCGTTCTTATTGCTCCTTCCGCCCACCATTACTAATTGATATACATCAATCTTAGCTCTCATACCACTTCTCTCAAGGTTATTGTCTATGCCTTTAACCTTTGATGCAACCTTGGTACTTTGATGACTCAAATGTAATAGGTTTGCTTGAAAAATACTCAAGAAGAGACTTGGAGTAAGAAGCAAATGAGAACTTGGAAAGGCATAGATAGAGTTTATAAAGAAGGCTTTATTTATAACTTCAATGTTTCTTGGATGCATTACAAATGAGTACCATACCCACTCATTTATGGGTGTCCACCTCCTAGGACATCTTAGGTACAAGAAGCCTCTATTTACAAGATTAGCCTACGAGCTTCAAGGTTCTTCATACATAATATCCTAGCTTCCAATTCATACTTGTCATTTATCCCGACATTGCCTCCCCTTTTTTATTCTTCTGGTGTTACAGCCTTTACTACAATGCATAGACCATATTAATTTGTAGGGGGGTATTTAATATTTTTCAAGATCTATCCTACAATAAAGGATTAAGAAACCAAAATATTTATAATACAAGATGTGCCAACTCAACAAGTATTAGGTCTACTCTTAATGGTTCTAGTCTATAGTGAACGTAGAACAAAAATGTTACAACTTTTTGGATAATACTACAAGTCCCTAGAGTTTTCTAGAGCAATCAAGTAGCGTACCATGGTGGATGCTTTCTTGGCTGTCCAACAAGCACCATGTGAGATTATGGAGGCACTAATGAGGCTAAACATTATAAGAGACACACAACCTAAGATATTAGCCTTACAATTCACACATAGAACACCTGGATCTTTTCATCATCACACAAAGACTAGAACTTAGTGGCAACTAAACGGACAGGGATTCAGATGATAATTGTGATGGCTGGAATTCTTGATAGGTATTTTGTTATTGGATAATGGGAGGGAGGAAGAGACTCTTAAGTCTTAACTAAGACAACATGAGAAGGCGGTAAGGGATGGGTCAAAGGAGTTGTTACATAAATATAAAATTTAGGATGATTAGAAATAGCATACATTACACATAAGTTAACATTTTAAGGTCAAGTAGAATAGGGTGTCTGGTAAAATCCTTCAGCACAATTTAGAAACAAGACTGCAAGCAACATGTTCATATATATGCATGAATTAAGTACAACGCTCATGTAATGTATTCAAAATTCGAACATCAGTGGTAAAGCATGCAAAAAGTGTCCTCTCAATATTATTTCTCCAGATAATACCCGCTACGACATTACACAACAGACAGTTCACTTTGGTGTTTTTGTGGAACGCCCGGAACAAAAACTTACAAAGCTGATCTTAATTTCTAATTTTCAGACTATCAATATAGCTTCCTCAAAAGGTTTGAACCAAGCAACAAAGGGTGTAAAGAAGTTTTTTCCTCAAGACTAATAGCAAAAACAATTTCCAAAGTTATGCTATAAGATAAATATGCAAACATCTGGTGTTTCATCTTAATTGCTTATGTTCACCAAGGACAGCAGATAATATATGATAACTTTCCAATAGAAAAATGAGCTAATAGAAGTGAAATGGAACCAACTCTAGCAGTAAGAAATTTAGGTATGTAGTGTTCTCAATTGGTTTTAAGTAAGTATGCTTATTGAGCTGTACCACTGAAACCAGATGGTGCCTGTTCATTGGGTCCAGCCCACGATAAAGAACACCGATATCTATTTCAGTGGCTAGAGCCGCCAATGTGGCCTTTATGTCTTCAACACTTTCACAAGTATTCTGCCATCCGAGTACTACAAAACAAAACCAAAGTACAGATGTCAGGTAAAATGCACAAATGAGTGGTGATTTGATGACTCGTCATCAATCCAAAGATCACCTGTTGTAAACACATGAGGTGGAGTAGAAAGAATGTGATGAATATAGTTAAGCTTCCCACAGCCACCATCCTCAGGATCACAAGCTAACTGGTGATTCATCTCAACAAGGTTTAGTAGCTCCTCAAAGGAGCTCTCTGGACACATAACCTGAATGGTAATTGCAAAATTTATAAGAAACTTCATAACCTCTAGCAGTCTAGTCAGAAATGCAAACTAAGCACAGCAATAGAAGCATGCCTTCATTGTCCGGAGGGCATTGGCATTGATCTGGTGAAAGAAAGAAGTGTATTTCATACGTCTAGATTCCAACCCACAGTTGTAGCAATTCATACGTTCAAAAATATCCATTCCAAAAAGAGAATGTGCTGTACAAGCACTATTTGCACACTCCCAAGCACCCATGACATTGCTTTCCACTAGTTCAGTATCAGATATGCCAGAACCAGATGCGAATGACTGGTGAAGACAATAAAAAATCACTCCCAATACTTCAGAAGCATCATTCATTTGAGCCTGTCACATAGCAGCATGCATGTTAGTGCTAGGTACTTCAACAAAATACCATGCACAAGGGCTCAAAATCTCACTACACTATCCCCCACCCCCAACTCCTCCACTCATGTACACAAAAAAGCACTACAACAAAAAGGCCAACCCACCCTCAAAAGGAAAGGAAAAAAAGGCAAACAGATCAAATACCATGTACAAGGTCCCTTGAAAAGTACACTTGGAGGAAGCGTTAAACTTTCTTTTCCATTAATACCCTATCATACTTGTACTTCTAAATTTTCGATGTAAAATCCTTCTTTTATTTTCTGGATAGATTCCTACATGTGATGTGATAAAGTTTAGATTAAACTCTTCAGCTCATTCAACCCTAGAAGTAATGAAATTACATTAACCTTAAGAGTGCTAATTTGCATAAATCATCCAAATTCGGTTGTCCTTCTCTATTCGAGTTTCATAATTTATTTAATAAAAAATTGTACCTATCCCATAGTTTAATTTCATACATACACACTAACAGTTAACCCTCAAAACAACTCGTCCAATACACTTGATCCAAAACTAGTAAATGGAGAGTATGAAAGAGTACAGGTATGTGCCATGCTAAGGCTGAATATACATATACCTCCTGAAAGAAATTACTGTCTGGATACAAGTTGCTCAAAGCAATCCTCAGAGAAGTAGGGGCAACAGATTCACCTTTTGTACCCATAGAAGCCATATTCAAAGCAATAAAAATATCGTACAAAGCACAAGTAACACATGGATCGCCAACATGATGATGAGCTGAAGTAGACCTCCTCAAAAATTCCTCCTGGAACCTTTTCAAATGCCACAATGACTGCATTTTACAGAAGGAAAAGTTCATTCCCTGGCCACAATTAGAAGGTAAGTAAACAAGCCCTCACATACCAACCTGTATAATAACATTTAAAAAGCAGTTGTATTCACCAGCTTCATTCTTCAGGCCTGTACCATATACATCGCTTCCATTTGCCTTGTCAGACGATAATTCAATAGATGTAACACGAGAGTCTTCCCCTTCTACAAGCACATTTTAAGGCATTATTGAAGCTGGAGTTGAGGTTTATTTCTTGCATGCATAAAATGTGTCTGAAATAACTCATAAACTTAGTGCATTAAGCAACTTGATAGGAAATTTATATAAAATGTGATAAATTTTTACAAACATGCATATGGAACCACCTAGATCTATCACATTATAACTGGAGTACAGGACTGCATTGGAAGCTAGAATAGTTGCATTCGAATTCTTGACATACAAAAATAAAGAACATGTGTGACTTAGTTGGCTAGCACTTCCATATCAGCTTCGCCATTGGGGATGTCAGAGGTTTGAGTACTACCCACCAGGGAAGAACAGAAAAAGGATGGCAAAAAAAAGAATCTAAAAGGAAACACTGTCATCCCAGGGCGTGGGCGGGGAGGGGGCATGTAAGAACGATGAATTAATGGAACAATTACAGAAGCAAGTCATACGCTTCAAGAAAGCAATTCCAGATCGCCAAAGACAGCAATCCAGATTAGCTGCCAAGTGAATGAACCATAAGGAAGTAATTGCAGAAGGTCCAAAATACACTGCATGAGGCATGGAACCAGGTAAGCAGACACTAAATAACTTCCAAATCATGCAATTCTTCTGTTTCCAAATAAGTGTTCTCTTTCCTTGTATAAGAAAGATGCAAATTATAACCATCCTTATGTGGAATATATAGCACCCCTTTCAAGAGCAGATGCATACAAGGATAAATGTTGAAGAAGGCTCCCTGCATTCTAATAAGACTACCACTGCTTCCCCCGACTTCCAAACATAGTTCCTCACTCGATATGACTCCCTCAACCAGGATGAATGTAGTACCATCCCATCTCACTCAACCAGAATTAAAACCAAATGACACCAGTGAATCCCACGTGAAATGGGGTCTGGGGAGGGTAAGAAGCGCACAGCCTTTCCTCTCCCAAGGGTAAAGAGGTTGTTTCCATGAAGACCCCCAGGCTTGCGAAAAAGTTCTGTGAAGAAGTTTTTGCAAAAGATTAGAACTAGCACAAGAAAGCAAAGAAGTTTTGAAGAGTTGAAAGAACGCCTGAAGCAAGCTAGAGACCTAGATCCTACTACTAATCAACCCAGAACTCAATCATCTAAAATAGTCCTACTTACCCTCTGACCTAGATTCTTAGACCCAACAATGGGTCTACATGAAGCCCACAGAATAAAAATGCAAACAATTGTCACACATGTCACACACAAACTTTTGTGGACAATCTAAAAGCTTCACATACAAATGCAAGAAAACCACACTTCAGTTATGATTACAGAGCAGGCCGAATATAAATATATTCAATGTGAAGATCCTGAAAAGACGACTAGCCATAAGTAGAAGGGCACCCTGTTATGATGATTGCAAATGCTACAGACAAATCACATCATAATGATTCAAATAACATCATAATCATAATTTCACCTATTAGAGGTGAGGAATACATACCAAGGCTTTGGCGTACAGCTTTTAAAAGGTCAGCTTGAAACCTTTCTTCATCGTCCTCTTCTGCTTGCAACTGCCTCAGTGTCTTTGTCCCATT